GCGTTTGCACGTTGTCCTAATTTCTCCAACGCGAGAATTTCAATTGTACGCAGTCTTTGCGAAAGCCCTCTTTAATGTCTTATTTAGAAATTCGTTTATTAAATAAGTCAACAATTGCTTAGAATAGCAAAACCCAAGCTGTAAATTTCTCCTAATTCTCGATAATGCTCCAGGACATAACGACATGGTGCTATAGTCTCACAACGTTGCATCCATATGTAGAGATTTTACTCCTTCCACTGAACATCGCTATCTTAATTCAACAAATGGATCAAGGAATCGTAAAAAATTCAAAGCCTTTTACGATTTAAATCTGCAAATAAAGCACTAGACGAAGGAAAGCCTCTCACATTAACGGCATTTTGGAAGCAATTCATCATAAAACACTGCATAGAAATGATTTAACTACTATGGGAACAAATGAGTTCATCGAAAATGAATGCTTACTGGCATCAGCTAGGGCCAGAAATTGTCAACAGTATTAAAGGATTTCTATAGACTGAAAATAAAGCCAAGGAAATCCCATAAATAGCAAAAGCAACAGACGGTTGAAATTTCTAAGAACTTAGTGGTCTAGAATGACTATCGTGAAACGACAAATGAAGAACTGTTTGATCTTGTAACATGAATAGACTGTAAAAGTATCGATAGTAAAGAAGATAGAGGCTTTAACGTACAAGAAGTTAAATAAATTGTTAAAAAAAAAATAGTAACTGTCTGATTTTGTAATGGAGATCGGCTCGCATGAAGATACTTTTTTTAGAGGTATTGAAAAACTTTCCACTCTACCGCGAAACGTTTGAGATGCATCAGACTTTGCCCCAAGCAAGAATCACCAAGTGATAAAAAGTAATCTTATGTGCCTATTTAGCAGTAATAGAAATACTTTCAATTAACATTTTTCCCTTTTAATTACTGTAATATTTAGGTTTGTATAAATTTATATACTTTTTCCCCACATGAAGTTAACTTTGCGAAACGCGAATTTGTCATACGCGCAGTGTGTTATTGACGTAACCACGGCGTTCGGCAAGGGTTTACTATATTATCATATCAAAGATGGTCTGTGATTTAGAAAATATAATCCAAATTGTAAATCATTTCTGCTTTCTATTTTTCCTGTTAATGAAATTCGTTTCAGTTGCTCTCAGTTTGTTTATAAAAAAACCATATCCTTCCTGAACTAAGACACTAGTATAGACTGTACATTTTCATCATTTTTGTTTGTTTTCCAACGCAGTTAATATTTGAAAATAATTTTAGAGAGCGTGGTTAGAGCCGAAAAATATTAGCGAATTTTGTTAAATTCGAATATTTGTGGCTTTGTACAGCTGGCTTCTGTGGTATCTTCGTAGTTTGTATGAGAAACGCAGCCCCCCCCCACCTTTGCAAAGGCATACTATTTCTTAGGTATATAGTTCTCGATGAATTTTTGTAATTAAAACCCAAGAAATGTAGGAATTGTAGATGTATCTTTCTGCCGTCAGTATTAAAAAAAAAGTACTTTTTGAGTGCTTATGTTGCGTTTAAAATATTGCTTGTCCTTACAACTTCAGTTAATATTTTCCCAGAGAAGAGTTTTAAAGTAATTCAAATACACATGTGATGAAGTTTATGGAGCTGTTCTATTGAAGCAAAATTAATCATACCGAGTTTATAAAGAAAGTTTTGACTCCGTAAAATGCCCCATCCCTCTCGCAGTTCAGCAGATAATTACTGAAGTTTACTTGAGTAACTTTTCTGCAATTGTGCTTAAGTGATCTACACATATTTTTAATTCAAATTTTATTAATTGAAAACTAGCGTAACTTCTAAAATTAGTTTTAGTCTAAGTACTATTCTGTAAAATATATTAAGTTAAAATATATTTTGATCAAATATGGTAGATAGCTTTGAGCTTTTGAAACTTATCACATTTTTAAAGCGCGCTTGAGCCTTCTATTCTTTAGCTATGTGTTTAATGAAATATGTTTTTTGGGGTTTCATAGAAATGATTTATATTCTATACGTTTCCATTTTTGCTATTTCTTTCAGAGTATACTTAAAAGGGAATTTCACTTCTTGACTTTTACTCTATAATTAATGTAGAAACAAATTATTAAATCGTTTGTCAGCTGAAAAGGCAACGTTTGCTAGGTCCTTTTGATAAGTGTTCTGGTATCGTAACACAACGCCCGAAAATACTGGAGACGCCTCTGTTGGTGTTTCCAGCGTCAAAATGTATGTGACAAAAAGTCAGTGGTCGAAACATCACGCACTGACCGCATTTTTTTAATTACCAGTATTGCAGTTATCAGTTGGACTAAGATTAATGGCATATGTTTCTGGGCATCAAATTTGTGATATGCAACAGATTTGATAGACATCTGGTTCGTTGTCAGTGCTTAAATTGCGCCGGTACTTCTCAGTTTTTAAGATAAATTACAATTCTAGGCGGAGCGCACCGGAACTCTAAATAAGATTATCTCCGGTACTTCGTTTTATAAAACTGAACCACAATTTCAAGGAAAATTAGAATTCCTAACGTTTTAGTTTAACAATAAGCAAACCTTGCAATACTCTATTTCCCTTGAAATACGAACTCATGAGACGTTCAAGTAAAGTCCCCTCACTCACATGCAGAAACTTTTCCCTTTCAGAAGGGCAACAAATTTGGGAGAATTTGTTTAGGAACGCTTAAATTTCTCGCCATGCCATCGTATATAGTGTGTTGTTATCGATGGTTAGTTATCCTCCCAGGAAGGAAAATGTGTGTTCTTAAATGTGCGTTAAGTGACAGCAAGTACAATAAGAGTGAAATGCTGAGATAAACTGCTCAAGCACGTCCTATACATCGTCTTCCCACAGTACCCACTAATCTAACCAAATACGGCCCCCAATAAATAAAATTTAGGCAAAAATTGTAACCAAGAACTTTACATTCATCCTTAGGAGTCAGATACAGGACTCATTTTACATCTGACACACATCCGCTTGATGACTATAACTATATCAGCAGAGAGCCGCCGTCAAAGAGAACGTTCCGTCTTACCAAGATTCCCCTCATTTTTTTATTCTACTCACTCATACCTTCATTCTGTTTCCCCCTGTTTTTAGCATTATCTTAATTTTCACCAGCTATACTTTAAGTGTATTTAATTTTTGTGATGATTTTCGCATATGATCAGAGCTTAAATTAGGCCAGAATTCACCGGATCCCGGCTTCGATGCTTCTTAGTTTTTTGTAATAAATCATAATTCTAGCCGGAGCCCTAAATAAGAAGGCTGCGGCACTGATTTATGTAATGAATAACAATTTCAGTAGAATTTTATCTCGAAAATTTATTTTTAGAAAGAAATTATATTTAAATTATTAAAATTAATTTTAATTAATTTACGAATCTTTTTCAAAATAATAATAATAATTTCTAATAATTATGAATCGAATTATAATTAATTAGGTATCTATAATTATTGATTCAATAACAATTTATAAACATTGAATAGCTATTAATTAGATAATTAACTATTTAATTTAAAAAATTTTAATGAGTTTAATAGTCATTTTATTTATTATTTACTCTTGTTCCTCTTTGCTGACAGTCTTCCATAGGGCTCCGGCACTTCTAATTTCAGAAATTAAGCCCTGTTCGTCGTATAAGATAAATGATTCTATAAACATTTAATTCATAAAAAATTATCTTCTGTGATAGAGATTAAATTGCTTGAGCGACTAATCGTGTTTACAAACTTTCAGTCTTGGTTTAAAATAATGTAAGTAATGTAGAATTTTCAAATTTTAGCTTTCATACTAATATACAACTGAGTATTAATCTTCTATACATATAATTGTGTGAATAAATATTTGAAGCATAGCGTGTTCGTGAAATTTTTGGAAAGGGGCAACTTATTCGCACCTGTATTGCTTCAGTATGTTCTGCGTTATTACGTAATCTCACCAACGTTTTCCGCTGGTGAATGAAGTTTGTAAACACGATTAGTGGCCTTGTATCGGAAAATCGCGGGGGGGGAGGGGCATAATGACCTTGAGAGTAGCTGTCTGTAAGGAATGAGGTAGGAGGTTCGTATGAACTGTCTAAAAATTTCCTGTTTAAAGTCTGAAATTGATAATGAAGTGTCATTCTAACCTTTTTAAGTAATGCATATTTAGTACGTTTAGAAATTTTTAAGTGGCACGTATAGCTTTGCATCAGCAGTTGTTTCATTATCTAAAGGATTCGCTTGTTGATTTTGCTTAATAATTGTATATTGCACATCTGGTCACTTAAAATGCGGGGGAAGTAAGCTCATTGCCCCGCAACTTAAATGTTTATATGTTGCCATTTGTCTTATTAAATGAAATAGCTACAGCGTGCGCGGCCCCCTCTTAAACTTTAATGAAAATCTGTAGAAAGTATATATATTTTGTGAATTTGGGGGGGGGGTTAGAATGCAGTAACTTGTTTTCTATTATTGCATGCTCAATTTGAGTTATAAACTTCGGTTACTTGGGGGTAGTTTCGTAGAATTAAGTTTTGCGTTTGAGAGCGTAGAAAATTCTTTTCAGGAAATTTTCTGTTTCTTGTACATTTTGAAGCTCTCTTGATAGACAAGTTCTGAGCTTAAAAATATTCTTTTTATTTCGAATCTGGAAGACATTGTCTCCTCGGAATTGTATATTCTGAGTAGGAAACTCCGCTGACCTACACAGCAGAATTGTGTTATAAAAATATTATTGAGCAGAAATTACAGTATTTAAATTAATCTGGGCAGGGAGGGAGTAAAATGAATAAAACAAACAAAAACTCTATTTTCTTAATGTTCTGTGTTGCTATAGTAAATGGTTAATGATACTGTGAAAATGCTGGCCAAAATTAAACTTTTCTATTATCCAATCGTCATATTTTCTGTTACTTCAAAAGAAATCGCCATATAAATATTTCACGTCTGCTAAATTTGTATAAAGCCTATGTTTTGCATATAATACAAGCTTCGCTTTAAATTGAATTTTTTTCTTTTAGGTGGCAACATGAAATCGAGCCATCATTTCCGCGATCAACTGTCTGTAATAACAGGCTGGTTTGATCAGTGGAATGACTGTGAACAAACAGTGGCTCTTTACTCACTTGTCAAGAAACTTGGACCTACTCAAGCCCGTTTTCTCGCATTGGTATTGGAGCAAAACATCACTCAGTGTATGGAATTACAAATGCAAGAACAGGAGGCGAATGATCCAGGTAATATATGTGTCAAGTGTTCTGTTACTCGGAATATTTGAATGAGAAATCATTTCTCTTAAAAATTAGAACCAGACTATGGTTGAATTTTTCTAAATTTAGGAGTTCCAGTTTGTTTTTCTTTTCGCTTAGGATAGCCAGACATGCAAGTAACAGCTTGTTAGTATTAAACACTGAAGGGGCTGCAAGTGGATATTTAATATTGTCCTTGAAACCTTTGAAAGGAAGTTTCTTGTCGGGCTCTTCACCAAAGTAAAAGAAAATGTATTACAACGAGTATTATTTCAGCTGCCAGAGGTTTTGAGTATACTTGGACCACCTTTTTACAGCACGTCCAGATGCCTCAAATATGCAATAAACCACAAATCTCAAGTGTCCGCCCCCTCCCACAAAAAGTTATTAGTTGTGGAGAAGGATAAGTAGCCATCTACAGGTGCAGGGATTGTGTTAAATTTTTTAAAGACCGAAATTAAAAAACGAGCAAGGAAACTTTACTTGATTTTGGAAAAAAATTATAAGGAAGTTCCCAAGTTAAATCCATCGAAAGCATGTAAAAAAAAAAGTTGGGGGGTATTGCAGATGCAATTTCATGGTTTTAAGTCTCCAGTTGCACAGAAAGTAATATCTAGCATTTTTGATAGGATGAAATTAAATTAAAATCTCTAAATTTCCAATTAATAAATTGATGATCGCAATACAAGCTATGGAATTAATGGAAAACTTTGACAGTGACTTTTTTAAACTTATTTTCCATGTGTGCAGATGAAGGTAGCTCTGGATTTTTTTCCTGTTGGGGATGCATCTTTTATCCCGCAATTACTTTGCATATGTGAAGGTGTCGGCAAACAATACGGTTGTTATCAAGTGCCTAATCCAGAGTCATGCTTTAAGACTGTATAAGAGTGATGCCAATGAGTGGCATGCATTTCGCAAGCCGTGGTTTCAGAATGTGATATATATACAATAGTGCTCCTTATGCGCAGATATAGAATTTATCATGAATAATGCGGAACTGTGGGAGGGGGCATTGATGTTAACGTACATAAATACGGTCATAGATGAACTATTTACCCATTAGAAAATACTCCCCAAAATGCGAATGCACATGTCTGTGATCGCGACTGTTAAGACAATGCTAGGCCAGTATCATCACCCTCCTCAGACCCACCCTCGTGTTTCTCTCACGCAAAACTAAGGTAAAACTGGGTAAAATCGTACTGTCGCCTATATGGTGCTCAAGACTTTTGTCAACAACAGGCGTTATCTTGTGCTCCTTGCGGCCATGAATTTCGTGGACTTGTTATGATGTCGGACAAGAGCGAGATTAGGCACAGCACTGGCCAACATCTAGAATATTCTGACTTTAAAATTAGTGATTGAGTGCCTTGAAGCTGCTGTGTTGCTGCAACATGTTATATCCCGTTCTGACTTAAATTCCGATTTTAAACTTTTTAAAATTATTTTCTTTGAACTGCTGCGCAGGTTAACTGAAGGCGCATAATTAATATAGTCGAGGGCACAACTGTAGTGTAAACTGGTACTCTAAAATAAGAACTTGAAGGTTATTTTCTCCTGCCCGACTTTCCTTCTAACCATGGGGCCCACCAGCGGCCGAGCGGTAAAGTCGCTGAACACTGGTAGTTCGGTCCGAGGTTCGAATCCCGCGAACGGGCTGGCTGCATGGGTGTTTTCGTAGTTTTCCCCATGTGTAACGAGTATACGAGCCAGTTTCCCTTAGAAAGTCCTCCACGAAAGGCATCCCTCCCCTTTGGCAGATAGCCCTAGTGTGCTTTGCCGTAATTAAATACACCACACCACCACACCTTCTAACCATGTCAACAGCAGCTGCAACAGACTGGTTTAAGTCGCCTAATTGTTTCCTTCACTTAATTTCAGTTTAGCGTGCTTCTTTTCATAAAAAGCACGCGAATGACGGCCGACTTGAACTGCAGTCTCATGTGAGGTGGAAAAAATAAGTGCTGTACAATAACAAGCGTTGCGATCGCAAGTGGTAAGGGTTCACAACGGCCTTGAAGTGACTACTTTCAAATAAGACAAACTGTTGTCTAATTTTAAAATTTTATTCTTCGGGAACATTCATGTAAAGTACTGCAGATAGTTTGATTTAAAAGTAGATTTTTTGGTAATTGTAATGCAGCTCCATATAAATATTTCGTAATAGTGTAATTTAATATTCAGTCGAGTCGCATTAATGTCGATAATAATGGAGTGCGGGGGGGAATCGATAAGCAGTTGAGAGCTGTTGTCGGGTGCTTGATGAAACATCTACAGAGATACCCCGTTCGAGGCGGTCTTATACATCCTCGGTTGGGTTTTTAAATGTGGGAAATTTGGAGGACAGAGAATTAGTATTTCTCATCCTTTTTTCCAGACTTTTACGTACATATTGTAACGAATTGCATATACTGTAAAATGACCGGATTCGAGCGAAGCTTTGTCGGAAAAATAAGATTACCGGAAACATTGTGGTAAATGCTTATCTTGAGCTGATGATTTTGATGACTAATTTTTGTCGACAAACTTGGCGACGTTATGGTGTGGTTCCTGTGTAATTGTATTTAACCTAAATGCTTTCATAACTGTAGCTGTATTCGGCCCTCGTATGTAACTAAACATATGTGCTTTCCACTAATTTCGAGAAATGGAAATTTCTCGTCGGCCTTGAAAAAACTGTAAAAAGACCGGAGAGAGCATCAGTTCTCTGGTTTTAGTTCGCGGTTGACTTGCCAGATACTGTATGATCTCATTGCGAGCTTTGCTGTTTATATGCGCTTTGTATTGCATTGTGTTTAACGTTCTTGGTAGTTTGATGTGGTGACTACTGATTGTGCCCTGCCATACTGAGAAAAGCAGTAAGAGTACTTTTGTAGGAAGATTCAGAAGTGTAAAGTGTTTATTTTGGGAAAATAGCTTGATAAAATTTATCATCGGTTCTGTGTACATTTAATCAATTACGAACGCGTACATACGCAACAGTATCGAGTGCAAGTGAAACGTCACATTGTCATGGTAGAAAGTGGCCATCATTCCACGAGAAAATTAAATTTGCATGTATGGTCTGGAAAGATCGATACATTGTTTTTCATTGTGAAATCAGAGAATGCCACGATATTCCCCAGATTACAAGGTTTTCTCCGCCAGCTTGTATTCGGCTACAAATCGCCGGCGATTGTTTGTTCTGCAATGTTTCTCGCCATATGCGCCACTGCCCATCAGTGCCAAAAACAAAAGATTCATTTGGGTAGGAAGCCTTCTGTCCATCAGATGTCCACTGTTAATATTGTTGTGCAAATTCCAGCCTCTTCTGTCTGAGATGTCATTACCATAAATTTGCTATCACTATCCGTCTACTGCGGAGTGCAACATACACAGCAAAATTTGCTGAACTGTCATTTACCCCTTTGGTTCATTTAGGCAATAAATTGCTCCTCTGTAGCGTGTCGATCGGTTCAGGCGTATTGCTTCAATCGGCATTCACCTATTTCATGATTGCTCCCCAGTCTTCATACCGCTTTTTTAGTATAGTGCCATTCATGATAACATTTTCGCCACATTTGCACGCGAACCGTTCATAAACTGTGCAGTTTCTGAAATACTGTCACACTGGCCCGAAAGTCGCTGATTATTCCTTTCTGTAATTTTGATAAATCGTTCTGTTTATTTATGTTAACTGAAATGATTCCCAATCACCAAATCTGCAGCCTGACGCATGCTTAATTAATGTCAAACGTAAGAGGTAGTCACATTAATGATTCGTTCCCAAGCGTCTTTTTAAGATCTCATAAAGCTATTTTAGTGATCCTAACATATTTGTGCCCAGATGATTTAAGATATGGTACGCTAGTAATACACCTCAGATTTGATTGTTATAATATGCTGTGTATATAATGACTTCGCTCATTTGTCTGAGAATAACATAAGGTCAAGTCCTCGGGTTTTATCGGGGCCAGGAGCGCAGGATTACTTCTGTCGTTGGCATGGACTAAAGCATCTTGTAGATGACGTTACGAATAATCAAGTTTCCAAATACCAGTTTTCTGAGTGAATTTTACTAAGAACGTATTTAATTGCAAGAGGCTAGCAGTTTCTGAGCTACCGAATTTTGACATTCTGGAGTCCGTTGTGATAAGAGGAATTGCGTTGGTTATTAATATTAATTTGATGCAAAGCCTGATTGTGTCATTTGCAGCCATAAATACCGAGATGCAAATTTTTAGAAATTTTGGATTCATCGTTTGAAAGTCATTAATGCCAATTTTTTAGTACTTCGTTAAAGAGAGGCTTGTCGGTGAAGTTCTTCAGCGAAAGTGTCTACACTGTGAATGGACACACTGAATAAATCCAGCGAATTATATCGTAAGTTATAAACGCATAGTGTACATGCAGATGATGTAAAAGACGAAACTTTTTTTTTTTGGGTGTGTGTGTGTGTGTGTGTGTGTTTATTAGTAATTCTATCTGTAGACTTCCATTTTGTATAATTAATCTGAAGTTCTGATGCCTTTATTCTGAACTGAGAAGTCCCCCCCTTTTTGTAATTGTAATAGATGTTAATTATTTAACGATATGATGAATGTCTTAGTGAATTTTTTCCCACGAAACTAAGAAGTAGTGAACTTCTTACTTTCAAGACCATCGAAATGAATTTATTATTCTGCAATAAATGCTTGCAGGTCAAACGCAAATTTTTCAGTTGCTTGCAGATATGTATGATTAATGTGAATTTTACTCAAGTCATGGCCTCATGGACGATTGAATTAAAGCCTGAAATACTGATATTTTTATTCGGTTTCGATGACCGGCTACAGAGCACTTTTTTAATCGCGAGTTTCTTGTGTGAATAATAAAAATTAAGAAAATTCCACCTTTTCAAATCTTTTTTGAAGAATCCTTCAACAAACGTCTTAGCTATAGCATTTCGCCATAATGTTTTAACTTTTTAAGCATAAGAAGAAATAATAATTAAAGATTGTTTAAAG